ATGGATGGATGGATGATGGATGATGGATGGATGGATGATGGATGGATGGATGATGGATGGATGATGGATGGATGGTACGTACACTGGGTTCGTCTAGTATTTGACTGTTGACTGATGGTTCCAGGTATGTCAGCACTCTGACCCTGGTTCAGGTGCAGATGAATCAGACAGGAAGTTACACAGTAACTGCAGCCAATGAGGATGATTCTGWAGAAGTTGTCTTCCACCTGGAAGTCATAGGTGAGACAGAAGATGATTGACAGGATTGACAGGTTACCTGTGTTCACCTGTGACTGTGTGTTTAGCTGCACCGAGGATCATGTCTTTGTCAGAAGTCGGCAGTAACACCATTCGGTGCATCACTGAGGGAGCTCCACCCCCTTCTGTTACATGGTACACCTGTCCCAGCTCACACAGGTAATCACAAACAAAAAGCATTTTATCAAACTGTTTCGTACAACAAACAACAAATACACAAATCAAAGGTGCCACCTCCCATGGTGTTTATACAGCAAGTGACAACAGCTTCATGACAAAGGTAACTGTTGTTTCACCTGCTGCAGGTGCAATCATTTGAGTGGCGGCTGGAAGAATCTGTCATCAGTCTCAAAGGGCGTGGCTTTAAAAGAGAACACAAGCAAGGTGATGGAAGGAGGTCTTACCCAGGTAACCATTGTCAGAGTGGTATCAGATGGGAGGAACTGTTTCACAGAAAGACAGATGAGTGGCAGCTGTGTGTTTGTCACCTGTACAGGTACACAGCATGGTGGTTCTAGAAGCTCTCAGCTCTGTGTCAGCTGTTCGCTGTGAGGCTGTGAACTCTGCTGGAGGCCGAGCCCGAGACCTACGAGTATTGACTCAGTGTGGGTACACTGCAGTACTACTACTCTAGTAAAACCACTCATGTAGTTCTGATGTAGTACTGTCACTGTAGTATTTTGTGGTGTTCCTCTACTGGTTCAAGCACTGGGTGAGCAGAACTGAGGATATGAAGGTGGAGAATGAGGTATTTCAGGCTCAGACAGGATCTGGAGACATCAGATTACTGAAGAAGGTCCTCTGAAGGTTGGAACTGAGGACTGGGAGTCTGGAAACCTGAGTTCTTCCCTCATCTTCTAACAGAACAGCAGAGCTCTGCTAATAAAACTGTYTGAACGGTTCTCTCTTCCTGTTTCCAGCTCTACTGTCTCAGGTCACAGTGTTGGTGGTGGTTCTGGTTCTGCTCATAACAGCTGTCATCTTTTTCATCATCCTTATCACTCTGTGGAGAAAAGTCAGTATTAAACAAAACACAAAAAATATACATTTCCATGGAGAGTATGGTCCAGAAGTAAAATCTTGTATTACTGTTTTTTTTTATATATATTTCAGAACTCTCAGGTTTTTAACTTGTTAACTTGACTTATTTTAAAGTAAAAGAGTTACAATTACACAATGTTTGAACTTTTTCTACTTTTATAAATGAATAATGACATTAACCTAAACACTACTAGGTGTAAAAATAAAATCTACAATTCTAATTTTGTAGTTTTTATTTAGTTCTACTACTAAACACGACTATTTTATCTTTATTTTGAAGACAGGATGACAGGAAGTCTTTTATTTTGTGAGTCCATATCTCAATGTTTCTTTGTGTGTGTAGAAACCTCAGTACGAAGTCCACTGGAAGCTAATTGAGTCGATAAGTTCTGATGGACAGCAGATCACCTTCATGGACACTGAAGACCTGTCCTACAGCTCCACCTGGGAAATACCTCGAGACCACGTAGTACTCGGTAAGACTAAACCATGTAGTACTCAGTAAAACTACAACCTGACCACATGGTACTATATAAAAATAGAACAGGAGTAATAATACACTGAGGATGGTACAACTGGACCTTATAGTTCCAGGTAACTTTGTGTGTTTGTTGATTTATGAGTTTCAGGTATCACCAAGTGCTCATTTCACAAAAGTCAAGTTTTAAATCCAGGAAATGAGCTGTAAGTTGAGCTTGAACAAGTCTTCAACATGTCAGCAGATGTAATCTGTTGCTCTAACACCAAGCCATGCTCAATCAAGCAGCTGTCAATCATTTATTAATGATGCACATTCACAGTTTAACTAGACCCACTGAATGGATCACAGATTTCCTGATCAGGCATGCACAGTAAAACACGTGAGTCTCACTTCTTCCAGCAGTTTAGTGGTTAATTATGATTCA